TAAGCACCCGAGCAAACCGGACCCATCTGGCGTATGCCAGCCCGAGTTGAGGCTCCGTGGTCACCAAAAGGAGGGCTATGGTCTGACCTGGAATCCCAATTTGAACGGCTACCTTCTGTCCGCTTCGGATGACCATGTAAGCACAAATTTGCACAACTACGGGCCACAGTGACTATGTTGGCTAATTTTCTATTTTGTCTGCCTCATCTCAAATCGTCAACTTCAGTACCGTATAGCGAGGGCTGCATGCAAAATGCCTTGCCTTGTAAATTATTGATAATTACTTGCCTACCGGCATGAACGCATGTACGAAGACTTAGAAATAATAATCAACAGCCTTTACCAAATTTGTTACTTAAGATACATGTAAATAGTACTTATTGGGTGTGGTAAGGAAAATAATATTTTCCTAAAAATTCCCATGTACCGGGGACGTAAAAAATAGCCATAAATTAGGACAAAAGTTTAAATCTTATCGTCAGTCTAGAGGTTACCCATAAAATCTGTTCTTACTTTCACCTTCACGATAATATGTGGCCTGTTTTGGTTATGTCCCAAATACTCGATGCGGTCAAAAATGTGTTACTGCGTTTTGTAGGAAAAAACTCCACAGGTTAGCAAAAAGTAACTTTTAAAACTGAAATTGTTCCTCCTTATGATTGGCTCCACTTGCATTCGAACTCGATTTTCCGTTTCTGGAAGGGAAACGCTTGGGGTTCTCCCATAGCATAATGCATATTAATAAAACTTTGGTTCTGTCATACTTAATTGCATAGGAAATTTCTTCCAGGATAGGCTACTTCCGACTTAGCCGAAATTAATGCCCATTACCCCTAATAAACTTAACTAAAAGTACAGTTTAACTGAAAGGTTTTCTCAGCATTAAATCCACCCTGTGAATCAAAACAGCGTGACAAAATATATGCTTACATGACAAGTCAAATTTCGTCATGACTTTTGCGTGCAGCACTGACCATATTGTAGTTGCCGATCAACCCGGTTTTGGTTTGACGGACGCTGACAGATGGCGTGGTTTTAATTCTTCCCCTCGAACGATCACCCATAATGTGCTCGCTGTTTGTCGGCGGCTATGACTCATAGCAACTTTTAA